ATATATATATATATATTATATATATATATATATATATATATATATATATATATATATATATATAATAAATGTGATAGTTTGTGACATATGCGACACAGATTATTTTTTATTCTTTGAGTAATAAAAAAAATAATGTAGTTATTTATAGTTATTTATACATGCCATTACTAGATGATGCATGGTATAGAAATCACTGTCGCCATAATAAACTCTAATGGTGTGTACGGTAAAGCCAAAGCCACATGGTCCTCGACGAATGATAATAGGCGGTTTCAGACTAGTCACAAGAGGACTAAGCTCACGGCAAGGGGAAGTATCTCTCGAAGATGCAGTTGATGATCCACCAGGCGACTCAATGGGTTGAACATTTAGTGGTGCGTCATCTGAAAATGTATATTGATCCAAATGATAAAAACTAAATTATAAATTGTTCCATTGAAAAATAAAAATGTTATTCGATCCAAATATAATGAATAAAACTTTTAACAAGTTTTTCTTTTTATATTTCGTTTTACTTTCGATAAATCTATCACTAGAGAAAAAAAAAATGCAATTCAGTCTTTCTACATTAGAACAATATCTTTTTCAATTTTCCATTTTTCTCGAGAAATACATACAGGCAAAATCACTGGTCGGAATCACTAATGATAATCCACTAGTCGAAGCGGATTTTATGACAGATCGAGACTTCTGTCGGGCGGATGGTAATACGGATATGGCACTGAAAGATTCGAAGGAATCAGTACTGGAATTGTGTTTGCTTTCCTCCGCTGCGTCTTTATTCGCCACTACGAGATCCAATCTGCAAATAAAAAAATTATGATTTTACAATTACTGAATCTATATTAATCATTAAATCAATCATGAATGTATTAAATGCAGAAAGCTATATGACAACTGTTATATAATTATTATATAAATTATACATATTATGTTGTAAAATAAAAGTATAATCTATAAAATATATGTAGAGTTATGCAAAAATTAGAAATGTATATGAAAGTTAAGAACAAATTAAACTAGAAACTAGAAGCAAAGATAATTATTGAGGACGTAAAAAATCCAATTTGAGAACAAAAAAATTAGTTTTGATTACTGAGTACTTGATTATTTAGTTGTCAAATAAATTATGAATTTATTAAACGCAAACAATTGTATGGCAGCTATGTTGATTATTATAAATATAAATTACATACATATATACATTAATGTTGTAAAATAAAAAATATAAAGTATGTATAAATTATAAGGATATTAAAAATACATATAAGAATTAAGAGCACATTAAATTAAAAAGAGAGAAAGAGAAAGAAAATTATACTGTTGCGAGGATATGGGATGCTGAATGACTCACATGTGTTCATCATCAATGGATATACTAAACCTGGGCAGCTTATCACGGGAGTGCGTATGTCGTTTTCTTTGAATCTGAGGGCTGATATCTTCGGATTCGGTTTGCGAAGAATCGGGTGTACTCAGATTGATTGATGTTCTTTCTGCCTGGGCACCTTTAGTGATCGATAATTGTGTCGACTCATTACTTGAAACAACAGTGCCGGATGTTATACAGGATGATACAATATTTGGTTTGTCGGTTCTGCTTTGATTCTCGATGCAGGTATTATTCTTTACTGATGGATGGGGCGGCCGATATTTCTCAGATAATGATACGGATTGTGACTCAACGAGTTTGGATGGCGGTGTAGCTGATGATATGGTCGATCCGAGAGATAGTTGCGCAAAAGTGCCTTCAAGTTCAGTACGGAACAGTTGTTTCTTAGAAAGATCGGATTCTGCGTCGGAATTGAATTGAGGCGGGCGCGTTTGAGAGATTTTGCGTGATTGTGGTGAATAAGAGGAGAACGACCCGAATAAGGGAGAATCATCGGTGTCATCTGTATCATCACCTAAGTCATGATTATATCTATCCATACGAGCTGAAATATTATGAGAGAATTCAATAACGGTAAACAGACATAAGATGGAAAATTAGACAATTATTATTACTACTTAGACGTAATTATTAATTATTTAACATAGATTCTAATAATATATAAATATTTGTAGTTTAAATTATAATATTAAAATATATCCGATATTTACTATCAAAATAACTTGTATCCTCATCGTTAACTAGTTGTGGTACAAATTCAGCTTTTTGTCTAAGTAAGCTGTTCCAATTTACTCCATAAAAATATGGATGCTCTTTAACTTCATGCGATCCACCAGTTCCTAATCGATCTCTAGGGCTCTGTTGTAATAGAACCGTTATAATGTCCTTCGCCTCCGGTTGGACAGGCCAATCATCTTCGTCTGGCCATTCAATATCATCTGAGAAATAAAAATTTCAATATTACATATCTATTTATAAGAAGATGTTTCGAAGTGCATTGCAGCTTATATTGAGTTAATTATAAGTTGAGCTAATAATAAGTCGTAATAAAAAAATCACCATTCACTGTGTGAGCAAATAATTCCTCAGGTGTTTCGCCAAAGAATGGAACACAGCCAATTAAAAATTCATACAATATAATACCCATGGACCACCAATCCACCGGTTTACCATAACCTTGGCGCAATATAACTTCTGGGGCGATGTATTCTGGTGTTCCAAACACTTGTTTATCCGAGAACTGTCGTGTATCTCGATCGATATAGCCCTCGTAAAGATTTGTTGCCACTTAACATAGATAATTATTAATTTAAATATAATTATTCACTTCTGATTGTCTTTACTTATGCTAATTAAAGCTTTCAAACTTACAGGACATTAGACCCATTTTACTGAGGCCAAAATCAGTAAGCTTGATGTGTCCCAAGGCAGTGATAAGTAAACTATAAAAGAATAATAATTTGTAATTATATATTTCGCTTCTATTTTAATATCTTCTTGTTTTATAAAATCTTACTTATCAGGCTTCAAATCCCGATGTACAATGCCATAACTGTGTAAATATTCAACAGCCAAGACAGTCTCTGCGAAATAAAATCTTGCCATATCTGGTGGCAGTGGACCTATATTTTTTAACAGATTTGCACAATCCCCTCCCTCTACGTATTCCATTACTAAGCATAAATGTTTCTGAAAAACATATGTAATTATTAATAATTTAATATATTATACTCGCAATATAAATAAAATAATACGCATACCTTGGTTTCAAAACTACAATACATGGAGACTACAAATGGATTATCTGTAAAACTCATTATATCTCTTTCGGCAAAGACTTGCTCTACTTGATTTCGTAGCATTAAATTATTCTTATTGATTTTCTTCATAGCAAATCTCTGTCGAGTGGTCTTCTCTTTTACCAAATATACCGCGCCGTATGCACCATTGCTAATGAGTTTCAATACTTCATAGTCACTTTCGCACGGAATACGTTGACATTTATCATCATCCTTATTTGGACTCGATGCTACTTGTAGATTACTGTCACTGGAGCTTGCTGAATCCTCCAATTTATTCAAATCCTCCTGCAGCTCTAAAAAAATCGATATATGAAAAGATCGACATATGAGAAGATAATAGATTTATTTAGAGAAATATATTACGTTGGTTTAGAAAAATAAAAATATATACCGGATATAGGATCCCTATTTAAAGATAATTTTGTAATGATATATTGGGGAATATCAGTTTTTATTCCAGCATTGACTTTAGCTTGGCCCTCTGCTTGTTCGAGTAAATGATAAAATTCTTCAGGATCGAATTCCAAACATTCTAATAGACGAGCTGGACGCGATATAACCAATAAAAGTTTCTTTATCAATCCTGTTAATCTCGTAGCTGCTTCTAAAGATTTATCTTTTGTCTGTAAAAGAATTGCACAATAATTATTGTATGTTTCGATGAAGAATTACAATGTATGCATGCGTGTGCGTGTATGCACCTCCATTAATAAATGTTCCAGATTTTCGCTCATCTCATAAAAATATCTCGTTGTAATTAATTTTTCCTGAGATTTCTGTAAGCAGTCTCTGGCCATTTCGATTACTTGATGATGTACAAAACGTAAAATTGGTAAGGAATCTTGCGTCATGTTAGCCATTATTTCATATTCATCTATCTCTTTGTTTTCATTAATAAAATTGGTCAGTCGCTCTTCCATCTGTTGTGTTGCCTGAAAATATAATAATCGCGTTTGATATAACTTGTTATTCTATTAGACATTCTTATATTAATAAAAATAAAACATCGATAATATATCAATAATACCTTTGGAAATCTTTCTTTATACAAAGTATTCATCATAACAATTTCGCTGTCGAGAACAGGTGATCGACTTGGACTACTACAATTCCACATAAAATTATAGATAATTATAGATAATTAATGTATATATAATGTATATATAATAATTTTTTAATCATAACACTATAAAAACATTGGATAACAGACAATAGAAAGATATTTTAATATATAAATGTCATGTATATTGTTATTTTTATAATGTACCTCAAACTTCGAGAACGTGGACGATGTAATGGTGATCGACGACCTTCTTCCTCAAGGCTAAGAGACGCGCTACCTGGAATACTCGATATGCTAGAGCCTGGAAAGCCCGGATGTGAGGAGCATGGTGTTCCAGGCTTAGAGAAGTGGCAAGATAACATGCGTAGTTCGTCCTTAGTGGGAACATTTGGCAGTTGATGCAAACGTTCTTGGCTCGAGTATTGTGACTAATGGAATACAAATGACAAATTATAATTGTGGTTAGTACAAACAGGAAATGTTTGCTGCATATCAATCAACTTACCGAGACATTACTAGAGCCAGGTGTTGTTCCATAACCACTGGACGGTAAACTAGCAACTGACCATCTTCTGCCATCACCAGTTCCTGTAGCACCTCCACCAATTCTTGAATATTATAACATTTACTTAATATTTTTAAAAATATCTTATACAAATAAATTATAAAGATATTAAAAGATATAAACTTTTAACGATTGTATTATTCAAAAATAAGCATTTCTTTATCATACGGTCATTTCTTTATCATACGGTCATTTCTTTTCAAAGATTTTGCATAGTGCAGTTTCTGTCATATTATTTTTTTTTATTATATAATACTAATTTTTTATTATATAATACTAATAATATAAAAAAATATATTCACGACATCTTATCTACTTGAACAATTGGGTTGGACTAATTTAAATATCCTGAGACAAACAGTATAAATATAAAATAGGTACCTTTTAATTGGAGCAAAAGCAAAGTGTGGACTGGATGACATCCTAGGGCTTTCTAAGGGACTGCCTACAATCGGGACGAATGCTATATTGGGAAATAAGCAATAGAAAAATTAATTTGCTATATTTACTTAAAAGCAATTAAGTAAACATAAAAAAAATATTAAAAACTATTAAAAAATATTAAAATATTTCACTATGAGTATAAGAGAATTTTGTAGGATGTAAAATTTTATAAAAAATCTTTAAGATCTAATTTATCAAGCATACTAAGTGATAGGATATAAAAATATATTCTAAATCTAACAAAATCAAACGCATGTATTTATGTATGTATGTATTTAAGTTATAAAGATGTCTCTTTATTTTAAAATATAATGAGAGAAAAGTAATATTCTTAAAATAAAGATGATTAAAAAAATATGAATAAAAATTGCATACCCGATAAAGGTGAATGGCAACGTGGTAAAGTAGGTGATGTAGTTGTAATGAGAGATTTACGATGAGCCGCTTTAGCAGCGCGACGAGAAATGTTAAAGTCACGCTACAAAAATAATAGTTATTTTTAAATATACACCAATAAGTAACATCATTATATATATCAATAAAGATATACTAACCACGTGAACTGACAGAGAAGGTGCTGATTTTCCGATCGCAGAATTTCTCATGCGAACTAGATTTGATAGCTCTCCACTAACTAAAAGCATATAATTTTGAGATATAATGCATGTATACATATATAATTCAATAAGATAAATTATTTCATAGATATGCAAGAAACAATAAGATTTAGTTAACATACTAGTTGCCATACATACATGTGACCTATCAAGTTACATATTCTCAAATCTTGTAAAAAAATTCTCTGAAAATTCCTGGATTTCCCAGACATTTTTGCTCAAAATTTCAAATAAAATTAGAGAATTTTAAAATATAATTTTAAAAGAAATTTTCTTTTTGGATCCACTTTTTAATGTCTTTTAATTACTTTTAAATCCAAGTTATTTAATAACTGAATATTAACACTCTGACTTTATCATTCTGGTAAAAGTATAGAATTTTCTTTATAAAAACTTATAAATTATATGTAAATATGCATATGAATTTTGTCTAATTATCAACTTGATCAGATATAGTGGATTGCCAATAGCTTGCATTATAAAAATAAAATTATTGAACAGCTTTCTGATATTTTTATCAAATTTTTTTTAAATTTAAATTTTAAATTTTGAAAAAAAATTTACAAAATTTTAAAAAATTCTAAAATTTTAAAAATAAATTCCCTGAATATTTTAAGTTTTTCAGCAAATAGATATTCTGTCTACCATCTCATCTATATTGATGCAGCCAATATGTTATAAATTAATATGGAAGATGTTATTAACCAGGCCGAACTGGAGCTTCCTTGCTTTCAACTTTTGGTGGTATTGGACGTTTGTGTACTTCCTTTTCCATATTACCGGCAGTTTCTTCTGCTTCGTTTTGATCAAATACAAGAACTCTAGCAGAGTTACCGTGTGACCGCAGACGCGGTCTACTTGGTCTGTTTCTAGTCTGATCCATGCTTTCATTCATTGGGCAATAGCAAGGAAACTAGAAATATATATAAACTATATATATAAACTAGAAACAAATGTTTCAACCATATCAATTATAACAATACAAAATAGCAATAAATTTGTTACGATTATATTTTTCATCATTTATTTCTCATTTTTCTTTTTTTCTAAAAATTCTGGATATTATTTATTTTCTTTCTTTTTGAATTACAAAGAAAATGCAGGAATATTCAACTAGTGCAAAGAAATCTAATAATGATATTTATATCATATAATTTCCAGATGAAAGAAAACAAAGCTTAAAGGAGGATAGATAGCTGTACTTTTACAACACACCTTTTAGGATGCTTACAGTGAAAAGAGGAAGCTTCAAAGGAAATAAAACACCCACGTGCAACCGTGTACGAGCTCCGATCCTCTTTCTTTCTCCTACACCCTTAGCGTTCTCGGAAATTCCTGGGAGTCACGATCGCTATGAAGTTCCATCTCGGGGTTGACATTCTCCAGAGTGCCTCGCGAAGATACATTACGAGTGGGATGGTGGAGAGAACTACGGGGAAGACGAGAAACCGTCGTCCGGGCACGTGAGGGATCCACCACGCAGAGGAGGCTTACGGGGGATTGGTGACGGGATATACAGAAGAAAACACGCACGACACTAGGTGCAGGCGACGGCGACGGCGACAGCGATGGCAACGGCGACGGTGACGGCGGTGGTGGCGACGGCGACGAGAACGACGATCGAAGGGACGCGATTACCGGCCGCCAGAGCCATCTTCTTTAACAGCAGCGAGGATAATACCGAACCTTCCTCAGGATACGACGGGATAGAGCGGTCCTTCTCACGTGCTCCTTGCGGGACTATAGTCGCATCTTCGCTATCGTCGGGGCGAGGGAGGCTTAATTAGGGAACGCGACCGGAGATGATGCGACCACGAATTCTGTGACTCATGATGGACGCATACATGTGTGAAGTAGCGTCGCACAGTCGCGCATACACACACACACACACACACACACACACACACCATCATACACCGTTAGAACCGCGCATATACTTTTTTGCATAAGGCATAATGCATAACGCATATAAAAAATTAACCAATCAGAATATTTTATTTCCATTATGAAGGTACAAATGTAGAATTATGATTGGTTCATTTTCTTATGCATTATGCAGAAGTGTGTGCTGTGGCCCTTAAGCAGTGTCTACAATGAGACTTTAAAAACCGGTTACACCAATATTATTTGGGCTTTAAGATTTAATACATAATATACGTGACACATATTATATATTAAATATCACTTAAAATTCAAAATAACGTTGGTGCAATCGAGCCTAAAATATAAGACTTAAGAAATTGGCTAATCATAATCGATCTATAGAAGAATAATCGATTGTGATTGGCCAATTTCTTAAGTCTTAAAATTTCATTGTAGACACCGCTTTAGTCTCGGTTTACAACCAATCATAGTCGATTATTCTCCTACTTTTCGACTATGATTCGTCTATGACTTAAGGCTTAAATCACCTATTTAGAGCGGAACTAAAAAGAACAGACTAAAGCTTGCAAATTCATAATCGATGACAAACTTCTTAACCTACAAAACTCAATTTTAACAATTACTATTTTCTGAGTACTAAGCGATGATTTTTTAAAGTTAATTAAACAATTATCGATTTTTTCTTTTTGAACCTATGTTTTTAGGCAAAAAGGAATCAAATGAGTAAAATCATTAAGTTCTAAGGTAGGACGCCTAAATTTAAAGATTTACTTATTTATTTTCATTAAATTATAACATTCTCGATAAAAAAAATTGACAAAAGTTTAGATCGATACTGAAATGTTTAAAGGTGTATTTGATGCTTGCAATATTCTTAGAATTAGGTCATTTTTATTATTTATCGAATGTTTGATAAGGATAAATGAGGACGCGCTCATGTGCTTAGAGTATTAAATCGTATTTTAAACGTACTTTAAATCATTCGAATAATTTTTATAAACTTTGGTTTAAAAATATGTTTGATTTTGAATCAAGGTGTTTTACAAATTTATGTCAAATCATTAGAATGTAAGATATTACACACATTTAGAATAGTAAGAACTGAAATGAAAATTATTAGGTATATGATCTCACAAAGGAATAAAATTAATAAAGTTTATAAAGTTTTAATGGTCGATGATGTATATATATTTTTATTTTTTCAAAATTAAAAGTCTAATCAACTTCACAAATTAATTTAAATAGCTTTATAAAATATTTCTAAAGTTTTTATAGTTTTTCTATAAAAGTAAGACAATAGGATTTCACTACACTGATACTATAAAATATGAGAAAAGATAGACCTATTGTCTTACATAATCAAAACTAAATCAAAATAGATAAATATTTCATTTAATCTATAAATCTTAAATTTCAATTAAATTAAACATTTACTTCAGAAATAGAATAACTAAAACTTCACATAGATTTGATTAAATTATGTGAATGCATGGAAAATGAATACAATAAAATAAAATTATTAATATGCATCTATATTCTAATCTGAAAATCAGTGATAGAAATCCAAATAAAAATTTTATAAATTTTATAAATGTAAATTTAGTATTTATATCTTCTTTATTTTTAATTTTCCATTGCTTTAATTAGATCTTAAATTTTTTAAGGTACATGTAGTTTTTTGATCTACATTTTGTAACAATTATCTTAGGCTAGAATGAGGACATTGGTTCCATGAGTGGAATAAGATAGAATTATGAATTAAATCAGATCTAGTAATATTGAATCAATAATCAAGTTTTATTCACAATTTATAAGAATTCAATGACTGGACAGTATTGAATATTTCTTTAAAAAAAAAAAAGATAATCTAGTTTCTGAAGTATTGTGTAACGAATAGAGTAATAACGCTGAAATTATAATGCTAGTTTCCAAGTAATTCGTTCTTATTAATAGCATTTTAGATGATGTATATATCATATTTATTATTATATATATTATTATTATATTATTATATATATTATTATTATATTTCATATGTAATACCATCTTTTTTCACTAGTTCTATTTCTATTTTTTTCTTTTTGCAGATATAATTACTACATTTGAAATTTTATTTTTTGCCAGTAAGTTTTCTATATCAAGAAATTTACGTCAGATGAATCTTTGGCGGAATGTAACGAACCAATTTGTTGTTTGCTCCATAAGAAATCATCATCGTACCTGGCTGTGTAAAAAATCTCTCATTCAAGATAAAATTATCCACAGAAAATCACAGTACTTAATACTGCAAAAATGTGATTTTCGCACCACAAAAAGTTTATGTATTCCACCAATAGTAGCTTTGCTTTTGCGTCCTGTTTTACGTATTAGTACGTTAATAATGGGGCGTAGTATAAAAAGATGGTGGCGACGCAAGCCTAAGAAAGAGAAGGAAGAATATAAACAATGGTTTAAAGAAAGGCGCAATGTATTTTTGGGTAAACTTCTTTAGATCTTTAGAAATTGTTGATAGTTTGATGTTATGCTTTAGCTATATTTATTTCTTTTGTACAAGGTTGTTTTGGTCTCTATGGCTTAATACTAGTTGTTTATTATATAACTCATCTTGAAACTGATCCATTGACGCAACGTTCAAGATTTATTATCTTTAATCAAGAACAAGAGAAGAAATTAGGGAATATGATTCTTGAAGCTGTACGTAAGCTATACTTGTATATAACATATAATCATAACAACATAACACTATTAAAGATTTTAAAGCCTTCATACATTCATATTTGAGACATTCACTATCTTTCAAAAGCTTATATATTTCATAATTTTGTTTTGTTTAGCATTTAGAAACTCATAAAAACGATTTGGTACCAAAGACTCATCCAGCTTACAAGAGACTTTTAAGGGTTATTGAAAAAATTTTTATAGCTAATAAAGATTTAAAGTTCATGAGAGAAACAGAATGGACTTTAACTGTTATCAGTACACCATTAACAAATTCATATGTCTTGCCGGTATGCATATAATGTTATATAGTTCAATATATTTGATATGTTTGATATGTTTGATATGTTTGATATGTTTGATATGTTTAATATGTTCAATATGTTTAATATGTTCAATATGCATGAATTACTTTTATTTTGTTTCGTTCTCTCAGGGTGGAAATATCTTTATTTCCTTAGATATTTTAAAAATTATTGAAAATGACGACCAATTAGGTATTATTTTAGCCCACGAAATGGCTCATTCGCTGCTGTTACATTCTGTAAGTATTGTGCTTACATGAAAATTAATAAATATTAACATGAAAAAAATCAAGAATTTTTGTCAATAGCTTGAGGCATTATCTGATCAACTATTATGGGATTTTTTAATAGCAATACCTGTATTATTAATTTGGGCTTTATTTCCTGATTTATCGGCTGCTATAATTCATATGATAGGAGAACGAATTGTGAATCTTATATATAATCTTCCATTCAGCAGAGACTTGGAGAATGAAGCTGATGAAGTAGGACTTAAACTGGCTGCAAAAGTATGAATATTATGTATTAATAATATAATAGAATCTAATATTTATATTTTGCGTTTTATGCTTATGTATGTATATAAAAAATTTATTAAATTAAAATTAGTATATTGCATATTGTTTGCACAGGCTTGCTTTGATATTCGTGAAGCTGTTGTATTTTGGGCTACGATGAGGACGCTTACAGAAATGCATACATTGCCCACAGAACTGCCATGGATATCAACACATCCTGCTCATGGCGATAGAGAGAAAAACTTGAACAAAGCAATGACAAAAGCATTAGAATTGCGAAAAAACTCAGGGGTATATTACTTAAATTTTATTAAAAAATTAGTAATAACAGTTAAAGGCTTTCTGTGAAAATAAATCAGGAATATAAGCAATAAACTATTCGAGCTGAAGCTAGATGACAATGCTAAATATATTTTAGTAAATATTAGCGTTTACAAAATTTTATTCCCGCAACGCAAATGTTTCGATATGTTTATCACTTTCAATATGTTTATCTTTAATACAAAACAATAAAAAAAAATAGAAATGGTATTCTTGACGCATGTTAAATTCAGTTAATAACAATTCGAGGCGCTATACAGTTGTTCAAGAGATAAAATTCATAGATGAAAAAGGAGTCAAAATACTTCGCCTTAAATCAAGTTGATAAAATGGTTTTTAACGATAGGATCAGATGTGAACATATACAAACTGATGGAATGGAGATAACCACCAGAAAATATCTCAAAAGCTGTTATCGTGAGATTTAACAAGGATGTGAATATTGAATAAAAAGTTTGCGAAAAGTTTGCGTTGTGGGAAAGAAGTTTTGTAAACGTTAATATTTACACAATTAATTAACATATATTTAACATTTAGCTTTATCTCGAATAATTTCTTGTTTATATCCTTGATTTAAATTATTGTTAACTATTTTTTATTATTATATGGATATTATATCTATTATTGCCATGATTTCATAAACTATGTTATATATTCTGTTGTTATGCAATTATACTATAAATTACATATTGTATATTTATATTTTGTTACATATATATAAAAAGTTTTTAATTTGATTGACAGTGCTCAGCGTTGTCTACAGCAGATCCAAGGGACAAATTTTACAAACGATCGACAAAAGAACACGAGATTTATTTCAAACAGAGAGGGATAATTTAAGATCAGAAGTACAAACAATTTTATCATTCTACTTAATGAGTTTAATAAGTTAAATTTTTCTTCAAAAGTTATTAAAGCATCTGTACATATATTGTACATATATTGTAAATATAAAAAAATTTTATCAGCATATGGTTTTACTTATGATATCTTTATAAATATAGGGTATTCCTGAACTCAGTGCCAAAACTACATGTTTTTACAGGTGTGTACAGCGGCTTTGGCACATAAAAATAAATCAAAGTTCGAAAAGTATAAAAAATACGAAGATTGCAAGGAATACCAACAAGTTTAAGATCCTACACATAATGGAGGAATAGAAATTAGGAACAGAATTTAAATTTTGAAAAAAAAGATTAAGAATAAAGATTAAATGTAACACATAATGGACACAGTAAGTAAGTATAAGATAACTGTATCTTATACTTATTTATCTTATATTTACTTATGTGCATTTTGCATTATTTGATTCTTAATTTTTACTTTCAAAATTTAATATTTATTTTTGTTCCTAATTTTTATTCTTACTTCTCTGTTGTGCAGGGTCAGTAAGGATGCACACGTATGTATTTTTCATTCTTCACAAATCGGATCTTTATTGTTCATGAATAGACATAATATCGCAATTATAAATAAAGGCATAAGCGAATCAGATGCATGTTTGTCAAAAGTACATACAATGAATAATCTTTAAAACATATAAAAGTTAACATGTTTTGTATATTCAATAATGTATTTTGTTAAAATGTCTATATTAGGTCTATGGATGTTTGAATTAAATAAAAATTAAACTTCCAGTAGACGTTTACATATATACTAATAGAATTAATTATCGATGAAAATAAGGATATATTGAAACAAAACATGTATTTAATTCCGAAACAATTGATGGTAATTTGCAATATTTTATTATAAATTTATTATTATATTTAAATTTGCTAATAAACTATTAAGATATTATTAAAATTGAGTAATTATTAGATGTAATAATTATGAGAACAAAGTTATTTTATAAAAAGTTAATTAAGTGTATAAAATTTATTCTCCTGAATCACAGAATTATTTTAAATAACATGATTTATATTTAAAAATAAAATATTTTTAATAAATACGATATATTTATATTTTCTCCTATCAATATTAATTATTTATAGTTATTTATAAATAATATCAAAAAAATTTGCCTGACATTAAAATGACGAATATTATAAAGTGATTTATGGTGATTAACTTATCAGTCTTTCCTGTTCTTTTGATGATACAGTCATTCTATTTCATTGAAACTGTGATGAATCATATTATTTCATTTTAATTCTTGTGTCCATATAAACAGTAATCGCACGTTATTCTTGATGCAGTTATACATTTTTTGTTGTTGGTTGTATGCTTTAAATTTACAAAGGAAGAAAATTATTAAGTTGTTAATGCCGTGACATACAAATATATAGAATTAATGTGTTCATCTACATAACAGAAATTTATAGTGATTCAGTGTAATGATGATGAAATTTATATTAATTGCTAATCTCTTAATCGCATCTGCATATAATATTGATACAAATTACCCAATACTGTATCCGAACAGTGCCACTAATGCGAATCAATATCTAAATACAAAATTTGAACACAGTTATTTCGGTTACTCAGTATTGCTGCATCGTTATTTACAGGATAATACTTCATGGTAATATTTATCAATTCAATTATATTCATGATTTTATAAAATATCTTGAGAAAAAATGAGAAAGTGAATGCAATTTAAAAGTGTTTTAAAAACTCTTTTGGAAAAGATGCCATTATATTTATTAAATATCAAGTTAAAAAAGACATTAATTTAATGTTTTATATACGTATATAAGGTACATACATGTATTATATGTCCCATTTTAATAAATGATCAATTTCTGGAAATCAAGATTTAAAAAAAATATTTTGTATAAATTTTTATATTATTATGACTTGACCGAATTTTTATGACTTAAATTTATGATTTAATATAAAAAAATATAAAAATATTTTATTAATATTTCGATAAGCTCTCGAGGTTAATTACAAGAATATGTAATAAAATGAGGATTTTCATTTGAAAAAATAAAGTTAATCTCCATATGATTCTGGCACCACGTACACTCAAGATTAAATCACTATCTTATGTCCCTCTTGCAGTCATAAAACTTTTATAAAAGATATTTTTTCTAAAATCTTATTTTATTTTCTATTCTATTTTTTATTATTTTCTAAAATCTTACCCAGAAACTGTTTTAATTAAAATGGAACACTTTGTATATTAGATATTTTTTTGAATTTTTTACACAATATATTTAATTTTCGGAAATATATATTTCCAGAGTAGAATTATTAGCAACTACCCAAATAATAGGATTATCATGAGATGTGATATCATTTTGATCTGATGTGAAACCTCGAAATTATTTACTTAGGTTGATATATTTATGATTTGTTTATTTGTTTAAAATATATTGAAATATATATGTATCCTTTTTTAACAGGCTATTCATAGGAGCACCTCGTGGAAATTATTCGCTATCATTACACAATTCAACAAGATCAAAAATTTTCGATGAACCTGGTGTAGTTTATCGGTGTATCTTGTCGGGTCCGTGTGTGGAAATTAAGCCGGTTCCTGATGCGAGCAAAATATCATATATAGAACAACTTAGCATGCACGCATATATAAGGCAGAACCATTCTTGGTTTGGTAGTGCAATGGCGATAGAAAGGAAAAACGATTTTCTTACGGTATATATAAAGGATTTAAGAAATTAATTAGGATTGTTATGATTTAACACTTATATATAATATACTTTTTTAAGAAAGAATTTAATACTTCAGTAAATAAAATATTAGCAGCTCAAATAAAAAAATAATATAGATTCATTGTTTGCAAACGATTAATGATAAATAAAATGTTTTCTATCCTTAATTTGCTCAAATTTAGCCATTAATCCTTTCATATTGATTAGCAATTCAAATAACTAAATTTGTAGAAAATAGATTTTGTTAAAGCATTTGTTACAAATTATGTCGGCAGAAATAGGACTATTTCTCATTTCTTGACAAATTTTTATAGAAAAAGATTTTAAAAAGAAAGTAAAACGAAAAAATAAAAATAATGAACAAAATTATATTTTTAAGAATTTTAATATTTCTGTTAAGAAACTAAAAAATAACGTATTTATATATCTTTTAGACACTTTTTAAACAATCTTGCTTGAATTACAGATATGCGCTCCACGAGCAATTCTGAACATTATACTCAACAATTTGAAGGACGTGAATACCATGCAAGGCATGTGTTACAGTGGTCATGCATCCTTGAAAATACTGAAGATGGAAATGTCTGAAATTGAACATTTTGGTATTTTTTTTATCTTAATTTTATAGTTTCTAATCGATGATTTTCTAGTTGATTAGAATAATTTATATCTAATAACTTTTATTTTTTTTTAATGATATATTTTTATCAATATATAACATTGTCATAAAAATTATGTCATAAATTTAAATATAAAAAAATAACGATGAAAGTAACTATTAAATTCATTACTGTTACTGAAAAAATGTAACTATCGCCGTTGCTGTTATAGTTATTAAAAAACAAGTAACGTTATCACTCCGTTACTAAAAAAAGTAACAGTAACGGCGTTACAAGTAACGCGTTCTTTCCCAATGCTGCCTATATCTATTTCATATATTCATAACATATTTTTATTCCAAAATCATTAAAAAACATATTTGCTATTTGGAAAGAATGACATTAAACATTATACATATAGATAAACATTAATAGATAGACTTTATGTATACATCAGATTACGGGAAAAATGTGTGGAACGATCCAATGTATGGTTTTTCTGTTGCTTTTGCTGCATCATTACAGGTATGTTAATGAAATATTGTTACATAAGCATACATATCCAAGAAAGAAGAGTTATTTAAACTCCTCCAAAATTAAAACAAAATTAAAGTTAAAGTTATGATTTACAAAATTTAATATTTTTCCATTCAAAATCAGGAAATATTCTGAGTTCTAAAATATCCAAAAAAAAAACGATTCATTAAATAAAAAAAATTGCTATTTATGTATTAATAAAATTGATAAAAAGTCTCCCCAAAAGAATCCTGATTATGCTCATGGTTTTATATATTTTAATGATACCTTTTTTTCAAGGCACAGTAGCATAATAATATTTTTTAAGCTATATAACTGTTACTTGTTTAAGGCTTTTATAATTTGAGTAATTTGATCATTATTACAGAATACGTCTGAAACATTAAACCGTATTGTAGGAAGACCAAAAGACAATGTCATAGGTAGTGTTGATATAACACGTTTTGTTAATACACATATGCAGTACAGATTTTATGAAATATATAAGAAAAGTAGGGAAATATCAATACCAGATGATCAATCGCAAATAGGTACAAATTCTATGTAATAGAAATTTTTATTGCATTTGTAATGATCACAAAATACAAAAATAAATTTTGATTCAGGATATATGATGGGCTATGCGGTAACATCAGGAAATTATTTTAACCGAAATCAACCTTTGTACGCCTGTGCGGATCCAGGATGGAGTTATATAGGGCAGGTAAAGTGTTTTATTTATGTTATTTATTTAGATAAAATGCTTTTCTTCCGAGATCACATTGCAACTTAATATGTTATTATCAAGATTGGATAGTAACTAGTTAAAAAAATTAAAAGTTAATTAATAAAGTTAAAAAGTTAATAACTTTTAATTTAACTTAATTTTAAATAGATTAATTTATAACTTCAATTTATTTTTAAAACATATAAACTTTAACTTATTAATTCTTTTCTAAGTTAAAAATTTACTATGTAGAAGAAAAAAATTGAAAAAAAAAACACATTCCAATATAAAAAAAATAATATTTCTTTATTATTTTATATAAATTTAATTTACAAATAAAATATTAAATTTATTTCATTACAATTTATTACAATTTATCTACATTGTAATTGTTTTATTATTTAGAATATTTAGAATATTTAGAATATTTCTATCTTAAAAAATTATGACATTCTAATTTAATATAAATAATAATTTAATATAAATAATTTTTAAACTTAACTTTTAATTTAATTTGAGTTAATTTTAACGCAACTTTAATTGAATTAGTTTTTTTGTTCATGTAATTTTTGATTAAATTAATTTTATAACCCATTAACTTTAACTTTAGTTGAAAAATAATATTAATTTATCTAATCTTGATTGTTATATAACAGGTTGTTATAATCAACTTGGACGGAAATTTTATTACAAAACTTCATGGCAATGAGATCGGCGAATTCTTCGGGGCCAGCTTGGCCAGCGGTGATTTAAACAATGATGGTTTACACGATCTTGTAGTCGGAGCTCCACATTGGAAAAACGATAACGGCAGAGTCCACGTATATTTGGGCACTTCAAGAGTAAAATTTTTATTATTATATAAAATGGAAATTACCAATAATGAATTCTTTATTAATTACCTTATCAATTTCTAAATAAACTGAATCAACTTCGAGTTCAGCTAGAAACATTCTAAAATAACTAAACAATGTTTTTTATCAAGTTGTTTATTATCTTAATACAGGAAGAATTCGAGGCAGTTACGATTCTTGAAGGCGTTAATGAGGATGCACATTTCGGTTATGCATTAGCAATTGGTGATATGGATGGAGATGGTTTTAGTGGTAATTAAACATGACTGTATTAACATGATTGTATTAACTTAAAGATATTTTAAGCGAGAAAGCTTAAATAAGGCAAAAATAATTGCCAAAATGAATGTATTATTTTTGTTAAATCATAGATATCATAGTAAGTGCTCCTTGGGAAAAATCTGGAGCGATTTATATTTATAACGGCGACGCGAGTTTAAAGGATAAAGAAAGACTTACAATATCGCAAAAAATCACGATGAAATCATCTGGTCTTAATAATCTAGCGAAAAGAGTGAATATACAAACGTTTGGATTTTCAATATCTGAACCAGTCGATATAGATAACAACGGGTTAGTAAATTAATATCTGACTTTCTATTATGTTTTGTTGTGGATTATATTTAGTTAATTGAAATAAATTTATTGTTTGATTAGTAAATTCTTTTTAAGTTAATAGAAATTTATTAGTCATTTATTGTCAATCTTGAACTATTTAAATATTTAATAATAGCATTTAACAAAGCACTTGCAATACTTTTTCTTTAATAATAAATCATTGTTTTTAATTCTGAATAAATAAAGTAAATATTAATTACTGTTTAAAACATATTCAATCAGAACAAAACATTCTGAAATTATGCTAGATATGTTGCAAGATATCCCAAAATACTTGTTTTTTATTTTTTAAGTATTGTGGACACATTCGGGATAATTTGAAGGCATTTTGTACTATTTTAGCATACATATCTTTTGTGACATTTAAATATCCGAATAATTAATACATTGAATTTTTTTTATTCAATTTAAATATTCAAACTATTCAGATGATCCGTATCTTAATATTCGAAAAATTGAATCCGAATTAATGAATTTATAATTTGAATCTGTAAAAAATTTATCTGCGTTTCCGAAAATTAAAAGTAATATTTAAATTAATAAATTGAAATATGATTGTTTTAACTTATTTCTAATATCTATTTACGTATATCTATTTACGATCTGTATCAATTATAGGTATACTGACATCGCAGTAGGCGCCTATAAATCAGGTCATGTTATAGTACTTCGGAGTAAACCTGTCGTAAGAACAAACTTGACTTTATATACCATTCCAAGTATTTTACAAAGGAATGTTAACAACTTTTTGATTAAAGCATGCGTTGAATATGACTCGGCAAATACACATGGTATATTTAATTATAAAATATTATACTTTATTATGCAACAATTTATCATGCTATAAGCATAATTTACTATTTATAGCTTTCAAAATCTCTCTGATCATGGATAAAAAATATAAGCGCACTAAAGAGACTTTCTTGGAAATGTCCTCGATGGATTTTTCTGATCATATGTGTATGAATGTCACTATTACTCTTTCGGTATACATTTCCGCATTGATAAATATAACATCTAACATTTACAATTACAATAACGATATTATGTATTGCAGAATGATATTCAGAACTTTATTGAACCGATTGTTATTTATGCATCTCATAATTTTACACATAATGACTCTGTATCTGAATTTTGCAAGACGTGTCCTGTTGAAAACAGACATAGTAAATCGAAAAGCGCGCAAAGTTTACTTCCCTTTGATATTGGATGCGGAGATGACAGAGTCTGCAATTCCAATATATCTGCAACAGTAAAACTTCAGGGAGTAAGGCAAGTATATAATGCTCTAGCGTTAGGTATAATATTAAGTTTCTGCAAAAAATCGTTTGCTTATCATGTAAACATTTCATTAAAAATATGTACGATCGATTTAAAAAATATAGGGAAAATAATACATGGGTGATTGGTTCCAATGACATCACTTTGGAGACGCACTTAGAGAACTATGCTGAACCAGCGTACTTGACAACAATCACATTTATCCTCCCAAAAGGAATTGTACTGCGCAGTATTTTACCTTTTTGTGAAGAAGACATGAATGAAGATATTCTGACAGTTATTTGCAATGTCGGCAATCCGCTTGGAACATATGAGCAGGTAAAATAGTGTATTATTTTAGTGTAATTAACTCATACAAAATAGTATAAATTTGATTAAATTTATAACATTACAAAATTTATACATTATAAATCTATGATCTCATAAAAAACAATTCAAATTAATATTTTAATTTTCTTCGATAAAGTTTTAGAAAAACTATTTAAAAGATTTCTCTATCAAGAATGATTTGATAAATTTTATTAAAAAGATTTATATATAATTTCACCAAAAATAATTCAAATTAATAATTGAATTTTCTTTGACAAAAAGTTAAAAGAAAAATTAAAACAAGAATTTTTTGTCGAGAATTTAATTAATTTCCAGAAAATTGTGAAACTCGATTTGGATATGAAACATCTCACGAACGGTTCGTTGCACGGACAAGTTCTAGAATTCTTAATGGAAATACAAACTCATAGTGTGAATCACGGCATGCGCATGATTAAATCTCCGTTAATTTTGCAAAGTGAAGTGTCTTTGTTTTTAAATGGGTTAGTATACTGAGGAAAAAAAGGTAATAAATAAATCCTAGATGATAAAAAACATGTTATGTTGCAGAAAGGCGATCGAAGAAAATTATTATCTACTTAATTTAGATTATGATCAACCCAGCATAATTTTTCAGCATATTTATCAGATATTAAAATTTGGTGCGACGTTTATAGAAGAGGCAAAACTTATCGTCAATCTACCAATAGCCATAAACGATTTAGAACCTTTCATATCTTTATATAAACCGCGGGTGAGTATCAAACTTATAATTTGTGATATATAAAATGTATGTATGTGTGTGTATGTATGCGTATATATGTATTATGTATTATTTTATAAATGAAAAATTATTAATGTCAAATAATTATTTTATTATCAAAAGAGTTTTCGATCGTTTCTAGCACATGCGTCATAAATCGAAGTAGTTATAATTAGTAACACATATATTTTAAAATAGTTATAATTAGTAATACATGTATTTTTATATAATAAAACAATATGTACTGACTAATGTTTATAATCGTACATTGACATAAATGCATATTAGGTATATATTTTTTGTTAAATATTTAAAATTGTCTTTCTGGAAAACTAAGAGTCTCATATAAAAAAAACTTTATTCCATTTTTATTTTTTTCATATAAAATCATCTTCTTTCCGTATTATCAATTCTGAAAGTAGATCTTGATGTATAATATCATGAACATAATTATAATAATTTTGTAAAGTTTAATGTTTAAATATTTATTAACAATTTTTTCAGATTTATATATCTGGAAAATATTATGATTGTTTATCAAGTGGAGTAGATTTAGTGACCGTACAACATGGACTTCCATGGGAAACAATATCAAATATGTCTGATTTGTATAATCTAAATTATAATAACGAAATACTGCAGAATACGAATCACGATATGTTGAAGAGAGACGTGAAAAGTTATGCAATTATTGCTGCTCATATCTTGCATACATTGTACAATACGAGAATGATAAAATCTGAAGATCTCGACTACAATTTGACAATACAAGAACGCAATATTGCATATGTGAATTGTTCAACGTATGGTATAAACTGTTCAACATTATTTTGCGACCTGAGCGCATTAAGGACACAGCAGGACATTGGCAAATTAATGATGAAATTAATTTTCAATATCACAAAATTAAAAGGTATTGACAAAAAAGAAATATCTTAATTTTTTATAAAAATTATTATTTTTTTCTCTAACTTTTAAATGTGCACAATTATTTCAAGATAATTTCAAATTGTCGGACGAAATAAAGATCATAAAATTCAGTACGGATGCTCATGTTCAAATTATAAAACCGGCGAATAGGATTGTTGAAATGGATATCAGGTGAATATTCTCAAACTATTAATACATGTTAAATATCACCCTGAATGATACAGCTTTAGAGAATGTTTACATTATAGACATGATATGAATCTCGTGACAGAATTTCATAATACTGAAAAGATGCAGAAACTACAAGTGTGGACTATATTTGTATCAGTCTCATTAGGTCTAATATTATTATGTATCGTTATTATATTATTGAGTATGGTAAGTCCTTCGAATACTAAAACATAATTTGTTTTTATAATATTTTTGTTTACCGATTATTATTTGTCAATCATAGATAGGCTTTTTCAAGAGAACAACAAAGGAAGAATTATCCACTTTACAATCTGATGAGGTATACAATCGTAAATATTCAAAATGATAAATTAATAAATGATTAATTATACAGGAAATCAATATAAAATTGTTCTTTACAGGAAACAGAAGATATAGAAGAAATTACGCATATATTCGAATAGAAGAAATATATATTTTAGGTATATTTTATGTATTTTATGTATATTTTATATTATTTATATTATATAATTTTATATTATATATATTGTATTTTCAAGAAAAATTATTTTGTTTTTTGATGTTTTTTGTGAATAATGTAGATACACATGCGCATAATAATTTTTAAAGAGATTCGGTATAGATATCCGCAAAATTCCAAGTTCAAATCTTGAAATGATTTTTCTCAATAAAATTTATTCATAGAAGGAGAGGAGTAATCAATATTATCTTTTATTATTGATTTATTAAAGGAAAAACAGCTTTAGCTTTGAGCTGTATTACAAATCTGTTAAAAATAATGGCACTGATAGGCAATATAAGCAGTTATCATGAATTTATATATTTATTTTCTTACATGTATATAACATGTATATAAATTATAAAAATTAAAAATGAGATCATTAGACGCCTAAGATCCTACTTGCTGAGTACTAATATTAATAATTATATTATTAAAAAAACAGGAAGACTCCATTTGTTAATAAAATTTACGATTACTTACAATTTCGTCTGCATACATTGTATTACACAGCAATTATCTACAAACATGTGTCACTTCGATTATATATATTCAAAAATTATAATATTTGTTAAAATGGCAATATTAATATTAAGAAATATAAATAAGCTTGAATATATTTCAATTTTCACTGGAAACAAATATAAGTTTACAAAGAATGGTTATTTATTTGCATAAGAAAATCAAATAACATAACTTTCATTTTACAATGTTGTAAAACATTGATTTTTATAAATTAAAAAAATATTTAAAAAATATTCCAACAGTAAAAATATTATTACTTTCGTTTATCATCAATTTTTTTTTTAATTTCTCGTAAACTTGAAATATTTTAGAACGTGCAGTATGTATAGTAAACGCAACAGAATGACACGAACAATACACGAACAAAAATAAATTTTTCATATTAATATTAATTTCACTTATTGAAAGTGAATATCCAATGTCTTAAATACTAATATATTGTACAAGAAATGTTATCTATTTTTGTAATATCTAATGTTTCATCATTAAAAATTTCGATGTTTTGGATATTTTTCTCAATCAATCTCAATTAGATATACAATTCGAAATTATATTTATTTTGTGTGGTCATACTTTTTTAATATTTTAGGATCTTTTCCTACATCTTGAAAAAAATTGAGGATTATTTTTGTACTGTCATGAGGAATATTTTTGTCAGCAATCACTGCAGCATATCAAATCTCTGCTAACTTTTTTCGCTCATCAAATAATGTTTCATCACCAGTATTAACATTACGTGCGCTATTTTTTACATTATATTTACTTACATGCATTGTTGAATCTGCGTGTCGATAAATATGTGATAAATGAGCACTAAGATGTTTTTCACAAATGGAGCAAAAAATTAAGCTTACATTATGTGACACTTCCTGTAGCCATGATTTAAATTGTTTCATTTCAAACATTGCTGTTTCGATTGTAATACTCTTCTTGGTTTACATATACTCAAATTATCAATATTATTAAATAATGTGTCAACATTATTAAATGATGTCCTTTTTGTATTATTACTTTTATGACATGCAGATTTTACATGTCTTAAAATATGCAAATTACACGAAAAATGTTTATTATATATGACACAATGAAACAGGTTACTGTCAAATAGAACTTTACGTATTCAAGATTTAAAACGATCATCACAAAGCTAATTATCTGAAAATTTTCGCTTACTTCTTTTATTTGTTTTCACACTTTTCCATATTGAAGACTGAATAAAAGAAAAGAAATTAAAAAGTTATGAAACTATGCAATATAAAGCAAGAAATTTCTGAATCTTTAAATATTTAATAATTTATTATATGTACAACTAATGATTAAAATGATTAAATTTAGTAACTTACATGAGTCATACAAATTATCACACATAACTATGTAAGTTACGAGTTACCATATAAAATCCTCTATCTCTATAAATTCCATAAGCCACACAAATTACAAGAGTTATTTGTCAAATAATGATTATTTACAAGCTTTTATATGAGTTTTGTTACAAGTTTTTATATGAGCAAGATTCATAAGCTGTCACAACTATAAAACAATCACGGTTATTATAATGAGACAACAGAATGCTTCTTCTTCCTCTTGTCTTATTCCTTTATAAATTTCCGATTACTCGTTTGAATGAATTTGTTACAATCACAAGCTTCTGCATCTGAAAAATTTCGCACTTGCCTGTTATCAGCTGGTTCGAACGGATGGATATTTTCACATTTCAATGAAGCGTCAATTTCTGCTAACGGCTCAGTCATGAAGAAATAAAAATTAATAAACAATGAAGTTGCGTGAGAGCTATGAACACGAGAAATTATTTTACTGCCTGGTTTACGTTTTATTTTTCAAGGCATTTTTGCAAACATTAGTACCAAAGCTCTTGTATATCTAGATGCACCTTGTGACTAAAATCAAGAATCTTAGTTGATAGAGCGAGAGAATGGCTGCGTTCAGCAGAGAAAGCAGATCAGTGAGCATTTAATAATTCTTTATTATGATTGGTTTCTACACTTAGATTCAACAAAGATCTAAAGGCAAGAACCAATCATATTGAAAAATCACTGAACGCTCACTGATCTGTTTTTCCTACTAAACGCAGCATTGTCTTTTGTAAGAACATTCTGACCTGCGCACAATGGAGCAAATATTAAGAATAGAAATAAATATTAAATTTTGGAACTTAAAAGTCGAAATAAAAATTAAAAGTAACGCACAATGAATATAAATAGGTATAAAATATAGTGATGTCTTCATATTTGTTTGTATTTTTATCTATATAAGCGCACAGTGCGATAGCACACATTCACTCATATCAGCCGATGCTTAGAAATTTTCTAATGGACCAATCAGAAAAAATTTTATATTTAATTGGCCAATCAATGTTGTGTGCTATCGGATCCCACTCCCCCCACCGTCGTAACGCACACCCTTCTTTCTTTTTTTTAAACTTATTATAAAATTAAATTTTTACATAAATTATATAAATATTCACTATGCATGAGTAACATTTGAAATTAAGAATAGTTAAAATTTTTTATTGAAATAATTTGGAATAAAAAATATTCCTAAATACAGCATAGGTTTCCTTATACATATATATGTATTGTGTGTTTATGTTATATTAAAATATAAATGCAAATATAGAAATATATTTCTACTCCTCTATCCATTCTTCATTAATAGCTGATATAATTTTATCATTATCCATCATCGTAATGTGAGTCCCTTCTATATAATGAATTTGCAATTTACCTTCGGTAATCTGAAAGTAATTTTTTTATTTTATAAAGTTATCTTGAAGATCACAAAATCATCAACATTTCATCCAAATTAGATTTACCTTATGCAGGCCATAATCCTCTTCAGCAAAATGGGAAATTGAAAGTGTAGGTTTTAGCAGTGTTATAGATGATTTAAGACGAGGTAATGAAGACACATTATAATCTTGTATAGCAATTACATGATCATAAACTGTCGAACATACAAGTTTTTGATTTTTAGTGGTCAATAAATCTTTCGGAAAGTAAGTATGAAATATTTCTAATTTTTCTCCCCATGTATTACACTTATCCAACTCCGAAAACTGTAAACAAAAATTATTGTATAATTAAAAATATATTGTATAATTAAAAAAATTAATAAAATGTGATAACCAAAAAATCACATACCAACAGTATTTATATGCGACTTACGCTTCATAAACTCCCGAAATATTATCAAATGTTCGAGATAACTTTTTAATTCATAAATAAATGTTTACAAATGTTTCCATGGTAGACGTTTTGAATATTTAATATTTAATATTTTTGAATAAGTCAGAATAGAGTGTTATTTGAATAAGTGCAACAAAATATAAAATATCTCATAAACCATTAATTTTTCAATTATTTTACCTTAATAATTTTATATGCAAAAGGAATTCAAAATTAAATTATGTAAAAAACTATGTTTTATATAATAAAATTATATAAAAAAGATCCATTTAAAAAAAGTGAAGGTGATCTTCCTATTTTTATTCCTCACATCACATGATCATTTCATCATATTAATAAATGAAAAAAATAGAGACGAATAAAGGAATAACAAGCCCCTTAGAATATATGTATATGACTGTTTATAGCTTGCTGTAAATTACATCTATATGTATGTTTGTATCGTGTTTAATTTTATTGGGAGCATTTAACAACATGGTCTGCATGCAAGAGTAATTTTGCATAAACCTGTTCCATTTCTGAATGCTTATATTGTGGTTAATATAGCCAATTTCGCTTTCAAAAGAGCTAAATGGCTCATTTTATTTAATATTTCGCAATTCTTATTTATTTTTTTATAAGATCTTAGATATAATCTTAGATAAATATCTTAGATATTTAGTTTTAGATACCTAACATTCTTTATATGCTCTTGCATAAGGTTTTACTTTATCATTTTATGACATAAAAGTCTAAACAATTAATTGCATTATAATTCATTAATTTACGGAATGCTTTTATTTTACTTATAATTGTATAAAGATATAATTTTATATTTAATTTTTGTAGAAAAATATTGAAGGATTGTTATAATTTACCAACCATTTTCTTGTTAGGTATATTATATAAGTCCATTATACTAAGCAATATTATATTTTGCAGCTGTTGCGAAGTATAGTTGAAATATTGCTCAGCCCAAAATTTCATTTGATCAGGAGCTCCGTCTATAAGTATTAATCGTCCTAAGATATTCTTAGCCTCTAATAATCTTGCTAATTCGATGGCAATTAAGGATCCAAATGAATAACCCACTATTAGGAAATCTTTTTGATTATGCATCTTGTTCAATATATGCTGAAAAACAAATATGAACATATATATAAAAAACATATACACACATATGTGTGTGTATGTATAATTATATAATTTTATATATTTCATAGATATAAATTTTAAATTAATTATATAGTCAACCTAACAAATTTTATATGCAAGAAATGAATATTATCTAACAGTAATTATTGTAATTAAATGATAGCGAAAATCTAGCTGTATTTTACTGCCATATAATGACAGTATATTATGCTCTCTTTTTACTGTATTTTTGTTATCATGCTTATCTAGGTATATATGTACGTGTTTATAAATTGTTACAACAAACAATAATTAAAAATTATAAAATTTTAATTTCTTACAGGCAGCAAGCAAGCAGCAGACTTCATCACTGAACTTTGGTCAGGAATATTAAGTACACTATGTTGCACACATATTGCTGAAGATTTAATTTCTGATGCTATGGATTTATATATGCTCGACCATCCGACAACTCCTGGTAAGAGAAATATATTATTTCTACCATTCTCCTTCTTTGTAGCAAGTTCTACAAGAACATCTGGAATCAAATCTTCATTCTTAATTGTTAGAATTATTGTTTTCAAATTTATCGAACTGTTTGTATCAATTTTATTTGATACAGTGATATGTGTTTTTTCTTCCTCAGTTGTATGAGCCATTTGTCGAAGTTTGGAAAAATTAAAATTTCGAATATCTTGTGCAGTCACGATAATATCAAACTCTCTTTCCAGTGTTTGTTTAATTTCTACTGCCATCATCGAATCCATACCCAATTCAGCTAATGATACGTTTTGCGCCACCGTGTTTATATTCTTCAAACCTATTTTGAATTAAAGTAAAAATTAAATGTTTCAATAAATTTTACAGAATAATATTTAATCATCTAAAAAGATTAATTCTAGCCCTAGTCTAATCTCATATTTTTTGTTTTGATTAATCATATCTGCACAATGCTTAAAATTTTGTTAATTAATTCTTAAATTTCATGAAGGTCATTTTTCTGTGTCTTGTAATTATTAAAATTTTAAGTTGATTTTTTATCTAATATAAGAAAGGAATTTTGAAATAATAATATTACGCCTGCAGTTTTATCTGTTTCTTTCTGCTTGTTTGTTAATCAGTAGTCATATGAAATTTTCTATCTTAGTTAATCTGATGTTAAAGTTAATAAAT